ATTTATGTATTTTGTGTCGATACAAACTGTAGTACACAAATTTCAAAATCATTATAATCTCATATTGCTAAGAAAACGGTTTTTCCAAAGTTTTTGGCCATCGGGCTATTGCGTAATAAGAGGGGACCAAGAAAAAAACCCGTTGATTAAATTGAATCGGGCCTAAATTTGAAGAAATTTTGATGAAATGGAGTTTATTTGGTCTTTCAAATGCTTTTAGAGTCTTGGATACGGCGTTTGACGACTAAAAATTTGCAATTCCCAGAAATTTTTGCACATTTTTTGGTCTCAAATTTTTTTGCACAGTGCGAAAATATTTTGTTTTTTGCACAGTGCAAAAATATTTTTATTTTTTTTGCACACCGAGGACTTTGAAAAAAAAAAAACAAATTCGCCGCACAGTGCAGGTTTTTTTCTAAAATCTGCACTGTGCGGAACGAAATTCTTGTTGATTGCACTGTGCATGACATTTTGTCGCAACTCGCCATAAGGTGCGGGAAAAGAACGCGCGATTTTGCTTCTGGCACCGTGCAAACCGTTTCCTCTTTTTTCCAAAGAAATTTGTCGTCGTGCTGGCACTGTGCGATCTTCTTTGTGTTCATTTGCACTGTGCGAGTTCTCTCTTTTTTCTTTTGCATCCTTTCTTTCTTGAAAAAAGATGTCTCCAAAATTGCATTGCGCGAATTTTTTCTTTTTTTGGCACTGTGCGGATCATTTTTCATTTGCGTCGTGCGACAAAGCATTCTTTCTTTTCCTCGAAAAAAACGTCGCTGTTTTTGCACTGTGCAAATTCCTTCTCTTTTCTTTGCATTGTGCGGATCCTCGCTTTTTCTTTTGCACATGCGACAAGCAGCTTTTCTTTTTCTTGAAAAATGATGTCATTTTTTTGCACTGTGCAAATTCTGTTTTTTTCTTTTGCACTTTGCAAAAACCTCTCCTCTTCTTTTGCACTGTGCAAGACGAACTTCTTCCGTGTCCTCTCGCACCGTGCATTCCTTTCCCGCAAATTTTCGCACCGTGCATTTCTTAAAAAAGAATTGTGCCCTATTCAAACAAACAAATCGTAATGCACTAAAATTTAGGGCAAAAAACGGTAAATTCGATTACTTCTCACTTCAAAATTTTCCATCTACACATAAAAAGTACGTCATTTACTCCTTTGTTCTCGCCCTGTTCCCACACTCAAAACTTTTCCGAAACTGGCGAATCAATTATGTCATGCTCTTCAGTTTTTTGTCGCTGAAGCGTACTCTACCTGGGTCCCGGCGGCGGACGGGCTTCTTTCTTCTGAGGTCATGAGTGGGAAGGTGAAAAAAGGTTTCCGAAGTAAGAAAACGTCGCGATAAATGTGCTGTATGTGGTTATGTGGAATGGGAAAGAAATAAAAGTTGTTTTACTATAGAAATAAGTTTACTGAGGGTCTTTATGAGCATAAGTAATAAAAAATTAAGGACATTTTTGGATTTTTTTGCAAAAAATTAACTTTTATGCAAATTTTTTTATTGGCAAATGTTTTAGGGAATGATTTCAAAGCATAAAAATCACAATACTACTTCTTCGTTTTCCCTGAAAACGTTCAATTTCTCCCGTTTTCTGCGGTTTTTTAGTTGTTTGGCGATGAAATTTTGATTTTTTTGATAAAAAAATAAATCAACCGATTACCAAGCTGCGTATTTTACTTACAAATTTCTGAATTGCATAGTTACACACAGAAATCCATGATTTTTTTGTCATCATTTCCAATTTTTTTGCAATTTTTTGCCAAAATCAACGGCATTATAAACCAAACCTTCTTGAGAAACATATTTTACCCTTCAATACTCCTCTCCACATATCCAGTAAAGTTCAGAGTTCTCGACCCAACATATTCTTTCATTTCTCAAACATTTCCCGCTCGTACGGTATGGGCCCAATTTTTTCAAACATCGGACATTATTACGTATTCAGGTTACCTCCTGCGAGCGACAATCACAAAGAAGAAGACGAGAGGAGAGTTTCTTTCTTCCATCTCCAGCACGGCGCAAGCGAATCGCGCGGTGAAGCGGAAAGGACGTAGAGAGCGTTTTTTTGGGAAATCCGCAGGGTTTTCTAATTTTTTTCATCCTCAATTTTTCGTCTCCCATACGCTTGGCCAAATTTTTGAGGATTTATAGACAGTTTCTTTCGTTGAGCGTAGTTTTTGGGAGGAGACACCCTTGTCTTGGCAAGTTTTACGCCGCACTGTGCAACCTTTCATTTGTTGGTTAACCGCACTGTGCAGTTGTTATTTTTTAGTTCCGCACTGTGCAATTTTTATTTTTGGAGGTTGCACTGTGCAATCCTCACTTATTGTTCCGCAATGTGCAATTCCAATTTTTTTGTTGAACTGCACTGTGCAATTTTCATTTTTTTTTTGTTCCGCGCTGTGCATTCCTTATTTTTTTTGGTTTATCACACTGTGCAATCACTCTCTTTTTAGTTTTTCATTTTTTTTTTGCTCCGCACTGTGCAATTTTTATTTTTGGAAGTTGCACAGTGGGAAGTTTATCAATGTCCGTCCAGAAAGAGGCCGGACTGATTTTTGACGTTTGCACGGTGCAAAAAGCAAGAAATTGCACAACCTTAAGCAAACTTTTGTTTTTGCACAGTATAAGTCGGCGATTTCAGGACGCCGCGAAATGAAATTTTATAGGCCTTCATGGTGTGTTATCAATTTGCAGCACGGCACAGCGCAACCTTTTCCCTACTCTAAGTTTGTCACAGATGTAGTTTTAAAAACTACCACTGATTGTATTTTAATTAATCTTTAACCGTCGCCCAACGATAACCTAATCAATTTTAAATACCCATTCTAATTAGATCACTCGTATATATGACATAACTAAAGCATTGATAGGTTCAGAATACTTTCTTTATTTACGGACGGCGCAGGTGCAAATTCTGTTTATTTATAAAGCTTCCAAATTGGGCAAATTTCCCAAACCTTGCAGCTTTTGCACCGTGCAGACTTGACCTTTCCCCTCGTTGAGGGGTTTTGCCTTTTGTACTGTGCATTTTTTTTTTTGATTTTTATTTCGCACAGTGGAGTTTTTATTTTTGGCATACTTTGCTGCACGGTGCGCAAATTTGACGAATTTTCTGCGATCAAACTATTTTTTCGCACGATGCGATAAGTTTGTACGCACGGTGCAGTCATTTTTTCATTGCACAGTGCAGAGAACTTCAAAAAAACTTTTACGACAAAATTTTCGGCGCATGTTGATTTCTTTTGGTGAAAAAATGCGACCGCCTACCGGAAGTTCGAAAAACCCCAAGTTCGACAACCAAAAGTTCGAATGCCGCAAGTTCGAATGCCGCAAGTTCGAATACTAGAAGTTCGAAAAACCTCAAATTAGAAAAACCAAAAGATCGAAAACCGGAAGTTCGAAATATGAAAATATAAAAAATGCAGAATGAAAAAAAAGAATCGAACTTGCGGTGGGTCTCCGAACGCCTACCGCAAGTTCGAAAAACCCCAAGTTTAAATCTGCCTCACACGCGATTTTTTTGCCCTGTGAAAAAAAACTGCTGCTCTGCTCGCAAAGCCGTTTTTTTTGGTATCCAAAAAACGGTTACCCACCGCAAGTTCGAATCTGCAAGTTCGAAAGCCTAAAGTTCGAATGACTAAAGTTCGAACGACCTCCAGTTCGACAAACCTAATCCAGTTCGACAAACCCAAACCGGGAAAACCACAGTTGGATTGGCTCCATGACGAATCTTGACCAGGTCGACATGAAGAACAGCGCGTTCGTTGTCGGTCAGAGTGTTCGGACAACCAACCTCCATCGTAAAGGATGAATGAATGATTGAAGAGGAAGTGTATTTTGCAAAATAATTATATGCAAATTATAATTTAAATATTAATTAACTTTTTTTTCATTTTCGAACTTTAGTCATTCGAACTTTAGGTTATTCAAAGTTACGGTCATTCGAACATTAGGTAGTTCGAACTGGAGGTCGTTCGAACTTTAGTCATTCGAACTTTAGGCATTCGAACTTGCGGATTCGAACTTGCGGTATGTCTCCAAAAAATGCGTACTGTGCAGTTTTTTTCATGGCTTGGCACAGTGCAGATCAAAAAAAAATAAAAATAATAAAAATTAAAATTCGGCGACAAAAAATAATTCTCCACTGTGCGGGAATTTTTTTTCTTTCCCTTGCACCGTGCACTTACTATACTATTTTTTGAGTCTTCGCATGGTGCAGTCATTTTTTCATTCCACAGTGCAGAAATGCCCAGTAACTTTTTCGGATCGTGCAAAAAGTTCTGTGAAAAAAGTTTTGGCTGCACTGCGCATTTGACTTTTTTGATGAAAAAATGTGCACTGTGCAGTTTTTTTTCTTCTGAGGGCTTTGCACGGTGCAGATGTAAAAAAAAAAAGTTGGCAGCAAAAAAAATAATTTGGCTCTGTGGTGCAAGGTTTTTCTTTCCTTTGCACCGTGCACTCATTCTTTGAGTCTTCGCACGGTGCAGCCATTTTCTCTCTGCACCATGCAAAAAGTACTGCGACAAGAATTCCGGCTGCGCTGTGCACTTTGATTTTCTTGATGGAAAAAATCGCACTGTGCAGGTTTGTTTTTTCTTTTTGTGGATTTGCACGGTGCAGATGTAAAAGAATAAAAATTCGGCGACAAAAAAATGGATAAGTAATTTTGCACTGGGCGGCAACGTTTTTCTCTCCTTTGAACCATACACATCTTTTTTTGAGTCTTCGCACAGTGCAGCGTTTTGAAAAATAGCGAAACTCTTTCATCTTCCGTTGACTCTTCCGAGTAACTCTTCTCTCTTTCTATTTACAGTATTTTGCATGCGAAAGTAACTCATTTCCGACATTTTCCGGCCATATCCATGTCCTTATGCAAATTGGATTCCGCATTACGAGATTAGGGCGAAAACACGGCGAAAAGAGGTTTTTTCGACCATTCTAATGGAGTAGTCAAAAGCTTGCCCTTCATCAGATTACATCACCGGCAAGTTCGAAATGAAAGTCCGCAAATTAAATTCGGCCAAAAGTTTCGGAGCCAGCGTTATTGGAGACGACGGAACGATGATGACATCTGGAACGATGCTGGCTGGGTTTGTAGTACTGGAGAGTTTGGAAGATGATGTGGATGGTAGCTTTTTTCTAAAGAATTGGGCAGTCTAGGCTTAGCTTTACAGGGCGGTCCAAAAAAATAGAAACCTTTTTTCATGGGTCCTGCGACAAAAACCTTTAGGTGTAACCGACTAATTTTTGCACCCTTAAATTCTCCGTGTTTTTCTGTCCTAGGCGTTTGATTTTCATGCCCATATCGATTGGCTAACATCTTTTTTTGGAATGTCAAAATGAGGTGCACTATTTTCAATTCTATAACATATACATCCATGCAAGGTAGATTTCTTTGCAAAAAAATAGTATTCTCCGCATTTTTACACACGATTTCCCTCCATTCCCTCCCATAATGTCGTAAAATTTCTATTGCTGCCAATTCCTTTCCTGCAATCTACTTAGCGCGCCTTTGCAAACATCGATAACTCAACAATGGCCCTAATAATAGCTCTATAACTAAGTTTGAGTACTACTAGAACTCTTGGTCTTATCAATCTTCACCTTTCGGGGCCGCTTTTTCGACGTCTATTTTCCTCCTCATCTATTTACCCGGTCTTAGATTGAATGGAAATTCAAGACCCCTCGGAAGACGAAGAAGAACCCCTTCTCCTTCCCGAGGTTGTTTGAAGGCCTATTCATTCGACTGCCGGCTTCTACTTCAACCCCCCCTTCTCTTTTAAATCTAATTTGACGGAATTCCGCTTCGCCACGACGCGGCGTCACGGCCCAAACGGCGGCCGAAAAGGGCGGTAATCGCCAATGTTATATAGTGTAGTGTTCCCTCCGACATGCGGTTTCCACGCCCGCCTTTTGTGGAGGTATTTTTGGACCACTCCCACGTCGCTAAATCAGCGTCGACTGCACTGTGCGACGAATTTTTTGTTTGCGACAGAGTGCAGCGGTCTGTCGCTGTTCACTCAATTTCTTGATTTTTTCTGATAGATGATCGTGCAATCAATCTATCAGATCAGACTTGTTTTCATGTCTTAACCTTTGAACAGTGCAAAAAATATTTTCGCCGCACCGTGCAAAAAACCCTATAAAATTCCCGAACAAAAACCGCTTGCACCGTGCGCAATTCCCCTAACCTATTCGGCACAAAACATGGCCGCCCATTAGCCACTCATAAATATGGATTGGCATCTTATTAGAAACGCTGTTTACAACAACATTAAGGACCCGTGCACTTTCCGCCAATTGTCCTACCAATCCATAATATTCCGCGGCCCTCCGGGCCTCCTCGATTAAACAAAGAAAATCGAAGGCTCGGAATAATTTACGAGCCTTCGTTATGCGCTTTTCTTGTAATTTGATGAACACCGCTGTAATTGCGCCTACACTTTTTGGTAAGAGGAGTCGTTGGCGGGCTCGTTGTTTATTGCGGAATAATTAACGGGGAAAAGGCCAAGTCTGACGCTTTTTGACAAAAGGGGTTCAAATTGCCTGAGGGTTTATTTAGGGTTTGTGGAGAAAAAATAGCTGTTTTAGTCGACGTGTTTGCGATTTTTTTATCAAGCGCGACTAAAATTTTTACTAATTGATTTTCACGAAAAAAGTCTACGCACTTTCTGAAACAACTACAAGTCCAAAAAAGTCAGGGTGCGAGCGACAGTCCTAAAAAGCCTATTGCACGGTGCAAAAAGCAATAAATTGCACAGTGCAAACAAATTTTTGTTTTTGCACAGTGCGTGCCGCCGATTTTTGTCCGGCAACCTTCTAGAAGGGCTAGTATAAGAATCTTTTTAATTTCAATTTTCCCCGATTTTTGTTTTTCGCAATTTCCATTTTACAGACTTCCCTGATGCAAATTTATTCCGCAATCTTTGCTGTCTCGGTCTTTCAGTCGCAAAAAAAGTCTCACAGCCAAAAAAGAGAGAATCTCCTCAAAAATTTAATTCCGCGACGCATTTAGCCCCCATTTTGCACTATTCCCTTTGTATTGCCGTTGAATTAATCATCATTAGGCCCTCAATTAAACGTAATCCCTGTCTTTCTGAAAAGATTTTTTCCCCCTTTCTTTCCGGCAAGTGTCCATCTTGAGGACGTCGGAAAGGGTTCTTCAACCGACTCCAACTTGGGCTTCCTGCCCGCCGGCGCACAAATGTTTTTTGTCGTCGAACGATGCTTCATCCGCGTGCGGAACGGCGGCGGATAATTGGCGGCGGATAATCTATGCGAGTATTACATGTTTTGTTCGTTTGAAACAGGAACAACTCCGGAGATCTTTGAATAATAATATTGTTGGGCTGCTTTTTCGGCAAATATTTGCTCTTTCGAAAGGTTTCGGTGATATTTGGCGGTTTTTTTTCGTTCGCCATTTTTTGCACGATGCAAATTTTGGTTCGAGATGGCTGCACGGTGCGATTTTGTTTTTTCGCCCCTGCACGGTGCAGGTTGTAACTTCATAAATCCGCACAGTGCATTTCCCAACCCTGAGCTCTGCACGGTGCAGTTTTAGAGTCTGTGATTTTGCACGGTGCAATTTGTGGGCTTGGTGTCACAGTGCAATTTTTATTTTTTTTTTGCCTCCGCACGGTGCGATTTCTTATTTTAGACGTTCGCACAGTGCATTTCAAGCTCCGAATTTTTGCACGCTGCAGTTTTAAAGTGGGTGATTTTGCACCGTGCAACTTGCAGCTTGGATGTCTGCACTGTGCAACTTTTATTTTTTTGCCTTTGCACGGTGCAATTTCTTATTCTAAACATTCGCACCGTGCATATCCAAACTGTGAGTTTTTGCTGTGTGCGAAGTTTAAAAATTTCCGCTTTTCTCAGTCTGTCTGGAAAATAATGGGCGCAATGTCGCTGCGCTAGTCGCGTCGCTGAAGTGAGAAGCAATTTACTCAATAGCAGCAATTTTTGTCACCACGCAAAAAATGCTCTGCTCAAAGACCAATCAAAGAATAACTGAGAGAATCTTCCTTCCCAACCTTTCTTACCACGCCTCCAGAATTCCGTTAAACAATCTTCGTCCCTATTGACGTCACCGATCCTTAAAAGTCATTCTCTCCTCCAGACTTCCTCGTCGCCTTCCCATATCCCTTCGCGAATATTATAGCCGCAACGTGGAGGCCTAATTCAATTTGCTTTCTGATATTTCCCAATTGTTTTATATTGCTTGGGCTTTAAACCGTCGGGCGGCCGTTTATTTCCCCACCCGTTCCCACGCCGCCCATTGTTGCCGAGGTTTGGACGGCGGTCGTGCTAGACGGGAGAGTTTGGGGGTTCGAGGGCATGGGAGTATTACAGACTTACGGCTTTACTGTTCCCTTTCATCCGATCATAATTATATATTTTTTCCACGATATAAAGTTTGGGGATAACTTTGTTGTCGGGGAGGGAGGACGCGTTTTTTTTTGCAGACGGCATCGTTTTTCGGTCGGCTTCTGGCAATGCAATAACCCTCGTTTTTGGTGGTGTAATTGCGTCAATTAGAGAGCCGAAGGGAAATACTCGGCTCTGGGATGTTTATCGATCCGTTTTTTGTTGTCCAACACAAAGCATGGTCAAGTTTGCGCGCTGCTTGATCCGTGACATCTTGATCCAGCCATTAAGACACACTATTTTTTACTGTCTTACCTCTTCCAAGATACCATGTGCTTTCAGAGCCCGGAATCCGATGCCATGCCCTGAGGCATTGTGAATCTCGGAGCCGAAAAGTTCCTTCCCGCATGGGTGAGACGGTGAAAGGCTTTTAGAGAAGTCGTTTTCAACGTCCTGAAAACTCGGCCTTCTATTTTTCTGCGGCGTCGTCCTTGTAGGGAGCGGGGCGAGGGGGGGCTCGATTCAATTAAGGCCCGTTTTTTGTTGTGCTTTTAAGGCCGCGCGCCTTTCGGAGGAATTTCCCTTCGTCTCAACGGCATTCCCGGTCCTGTTGATGGCCAGCGAGATGAACAAGTGTGAAAGTAACGCCAAAAAGCCAAATTTTATATCGCTTTACTAACGTTTTGCCCTCGCGCCCGCCTCGGGCCTGCAGCGCATGTTTCGGACGGGGGTGAAGAGCATGGATTTTTGCGTCATGCGCACTCTGTCGGCTGGGCAGTGATTTGTAACAGTGTTGGCGAACCAACGTGATCTGTATTTTGTGATCTCGAGATAACTTGCGTAATACCACATTTATTCTGTACCTATTATCGTACTTGCTCCCACAGTAATCTTTGAATTTTTTATCGCCAGTGATAACTTCATATTTTTACTTAGTTTTTCGCTGAAAACATTCCCCCTCTACCATATACGCGTGTTAGTTCGCAGTTGCACTTTTTCATAACTTCGACCGTCTCTCTCCCGTTACTTACCGAATTTTTTTTGAGGTACTGCCATATTGTGGAGCCGCAAAATTAACTTCATTCAACGGAGTTCGCGCCCTACTCCTCTCGACCACCGCCGCCACATTTGCAGAACCGTACGGACATAGACAGCAGCTGGTGGTCGTGCCCCTCGTACAGCGTCGTTATTGCCCACTTTTCCGGCTCTGAATTGGCCCAATCTCTCGTCGCTTCGGGTTGATCCGCTGTCGTCATTCACAACGCGTCCGCAACGAAACGAAGCCAGCCGCGTTGAACGGGCTTCAGGGCGATGCCAGGCCGGCGGTTAACGAACTCTCGCATCAATTCGTTCCGCCAACCCGCTTCCAACAACGAATTGATACTCAGGAACCGCAGCGACGACGCGGCCAGTTAACCGTTGAGTTGAGCTTTCTTTTCGCGACTTGTTGACTCCACGACGGATTCAGCCAAGGCTTCGTAGCTTTTTACTTTTAATCGGTGAGTTGGAGCGCGTTGAAAGGAAAGTTTTTTTCAGCCAACCCGCCTCTCATCCCGATTCACTTCCGGTTCCTCTTTCTCGTTTCACAAATCTCTACATATACCTGCACATCTGACGCTATAATCAAGACAACGCCATCATGCTGCTCTACTACCTCGCCGCCATTTTCAAGGGCATGCACCCGCGGGTCGACGACGACTTTGTGGACAAACTCAACTACCATTACACGTCTGCAATCATCTTCGCGTTCGCGGTGATCGTGTCGGCCAAACAGTACGTGGGCTATCCCATCCAGTGCTGGGTGCCGGCCCAGTTCACCGACGCCTGGGAGCAATACACAGAGAATTATTGTTGGGTCGAATCTACATATTACTTGCCATTGACGAGTGCTTTCCCGTTGGAGTACGGTAATCAGCGGTAAGTTGGCGGTAGCGTTCAGTGTTTTCTTGACATTCCTTTGCCTTTGGGAGTTGTGAGGCGTAACCTTTCGGCTTTTTACCAACAGTTCCTTGTTGTGGTCCTAACTAGAGAAGATTAGAGGCCTCTCTCACTGAAAGTTTTATCTTTGTAAGGTTCAGAGCGAGACAAGTCAGCTATTATCAATGGGTGCCGTTCGTCTTGGCGTTGGAAGCACTCATGTTCTACGTGCCTTGCGTCTTGTGGCGCGGAATGTTGCATTGGCATTCAGGTAAGGGCTGTGTTTTATGTTAAGAAAGTAGTCTTTTCAATGCGTCCAGATTTATGACTTTACTGTGATTTCTTTTGCAGGTATAAACGTTCAAAGCTTAGCTCAGATGGCTTGCGACGCCCGGATGATGGATCGCGACGCGCGGACGGCGACCATTCAGACCATCGCGTCGCACATGCAGGATGCTTTGGAGATCCAAAAGGACGTAAGTCATGTCAGTATACTTTTGAAAAACTTTTGGGACACTCATTTCCAAAAGCTCACACGGTGAAGGTAACATTAGCGCCACAAACTTTGATTCTCTTACCACACTTGCACGGGGGTATATTTGAGATGTTTCAGGCGTCTGACGTGTCCTCCTTCTTCTGCGGAGGGAAGCGTTGGGCATCATACGTGACGTGCCTTTATGTCTTTATCAAGATACTGTACCTTGCAAACGTTGTGATACAAATCTTCTTGCTGAACTTGTTCTTGGGTACGGACAATATTTTCTACGGATTCTACATCCTGAAGGATCTGTTAAGCGGCAGGGAATGGGGAGTGAGCGGGAACTTCCCCAGGGTCACAATGTGTGACTTTGAAGTAGGTTTTAAGTTACGCAACTCATGTTAACCACACATTTTTTATAGTAAAAATAGTACGTGTCGTATTGTGGCCTTGACTCAAAAGTAATATTCTAGGTCCGCGTGCTGGGAAATGTTCATCATCATACTGTTCAATGTGTGCTGATGATCAACATGTTCAACGAAAAAATCTTTCTATTCCTTTGGTTTTGGTTCTTCATGGTAGCGCTAATATCGGTATTCTCGCTGGTCCACTGGATGCTAATATCCTTCTTCCCGGGACAGGTAGACAACTCGTTGTTGTTGTAGAAATGATCAATTTTTCAGCACATGAAATTTGTCCGCAAATACCTTCGCGCCACCGACCTGGCCACCGATCGGCAGTCGGTGAAGAAGTTTGTGCACAAATTCCTCGGCCCCGACGGGGTCTTCTGCATGCGGATGATTAGCGCGCACGCCGGCGACATCATGGCCACCGAGCTGATCATCGAGCTGTGGCACGAGTTCAACGACCGCGTCCGCAAGTCGCCCATCGAGATGTTCGAGGGCGGGGTGTCGCAGTCGCCGTCCAAGCTGGACGCCAACTTCAAGACATGGCTTCTGGGCCAGACCAGGTACGCCACCACCAATTCCTACTCCCAACCGCATGTTTGACCCCCGAGCTGTGAGATTTACCTCGTGAATTTTTAGCTGAGCTACACACAAAAAAAGAAAGGTTTTGAGCCGTTTTCGGAGCCAGATGAGTGCAAAACTTTTTGGTTTTTGCTTAATACTATACTTCTAAAAGCCCTTTGTACAGTTCTTTCCAAAGTTCTCGTTCGCACTCTACACACGGTGCACGTGCAAATTGCACCACCTAGGAGCAAATAGCGACCAAATTTTTAGCAATAAGAGTTGCAGCATCAATAATTGTAACCGCTTACCGATGAGTTTGGCCTTTTTCTTTTTGTTCTAGACTAATTTAATGTAATTTATGTTATGTAATTTGTCTTTATTAAACGAAAACTTCTGACAGTTCTTTCATTGGTTCCGTAGGGTGGTGTTGAGATGTAGAGAATAACACAGGTAGTTGTAAGTGTGAAAACGGCGGCCGAAAACGTCATAGGTCGTAAAAGTAGAGACAATAGGTGGTCTTGCAACGCGGCTAATTGTGAGAGAAATAACGAGAGAAAAAGTAGGAATAACGCACACTCGAGCCCGTCGCCGGCCGCACTCATGTTCCGCCACTCGCACGACCCCAACTGGTTGTAATCTCACACCTCCACGCACACCCTCATCATGTACGTACAGGTTGTAAGCGGCGGATGCGGAGCGATCTCGGCGTCGCAACTCTACCCACAATATCTTCTACAGCGCAGTGCTCAGGATGTAGACGTCTTACACCAACTTTTCTGCTGATTATGAGGAGTTGAAGTCATCGGTCTTGCGAGAGAAATGACAACGAAAAATTATGGAGGGCGGGAAATGAGAGGCACAACAACTGCATAGAAGATACGACCATCTTACGACAAATTCACCTCGGCGAGAGATAGACTGGGCACTAGGAATGGCACAGGCAAGTTATCTCTCATCCACTTTCGCTATCCGTTCATCGTATCTCTATAAATCGTCGTATCCTCACCCATGCAATATTGCACATGACTTTTTTTATGAGCAAAAAGTGATATTTTGTCCAGAAAATCGCCCAGCTTTACTTGAGCTTTCATATGCAACATTGCAAATTCATGGTATACCTATATCTATCTATGAGTTCACCAACGCCTTTGTTACCTTTCCCTTTCATAGTAACTTATCCAATCACGTTCACAATTCCTCTCAAGGAGACTTTCGCACCAAAATCGTTGTAAAAACAAGTTCATAGAGCCACTAAAATCTTGATCCTCACAAATTTAACTTCACGGATAACCTGCCAAACATCTTCTAATGTCTTACATGTTGTTTTCATGAAACCATGTGACGTCATTTTGGTGAGAAATAAGGTTGAGAATTCTTTGTGGGAAAGTGTTTTTATCTTTGTTTATTATGGGCAAACTTCTCAGTATACAATTTTTTCGTGATAATCGCTGTTTTGGCGGCTGAAATTGCAATTTCTCACAATGTCAGCAAAATACACAAAAATAAGTCAGTTAAAGCCCAAGATGTGAATTTTTTAAGCCTTATGGCAGCTGAAAATCCAAAGATTTACCGAATTTAGCCTATGTACCGTCTATACATGTATTCAATATCTGTTTATAGGCTCTTTACGAAGCGAAGTTGTGATGAGAGATAGCTTGTTTTCCCTGTGCTTCCTTTTTGTTGTGGTTTTACACTAGCTCACTGTTGTCGTTCAACGGTCCTAACTTTTTTGTCAGCACTAATTTTAACTTTTTTGTTCTCTCATTTTGTTTGATTTTCTTTATAGTTTCGTTTTGATGTTTTTGTACTTGTAACACAAAATTGAACATAGTACAGTTGCGGGAGCTGGATGTAAATGAAACTTGGTGTTATTTAAGGGTATTTTTGATTATTTTTAATCGCAAAAAATCGGTTTTTTCACATTGAAAACGAGATTTTTTGAAATTACCATAACTGTTCGGCCTAAACCATCAAAAATCAGCAAAAAACCCTCGGGCATTTGCATCCATTTTCCCCAAAATGCAAAAACAAAAGCTCCCTCAAGCTCACCCTTTCATTTATTGCAGTAAAACCTCTAATTTTCTCATTAATTTCGCCCAATTTTTAGAGGAAAACCGCAGTTCGACGGCTCGAACCCGACCCGCGGCAAGAAGCGACGAAAATCGGACGGTTATTTCACATTTGTCTGACACGTGTACACTCTCATTTCAACGGACTCGGTCCGCCGCCTCGACAAAGCCATAATTTCTCCATTTTTCGCAATTTTTGAATTTTGAAATTTTTCGATTTTTTATCATTGCCAAATTTTTCGAGCTTGGCCGTTGGACAAAAAAATTTTTTCTTTTTTTACAATTTTTAGAATTTTTCCAACGCCAAAAAAATTAATATTTTACAAAATCCCGAAAAAACTGCCAAAATTTTCGGTTTTTGGGCCTTTTTTCTCCGAAATCTCCGAAATTTCCGTTGTCATTTCTCTCGGTTGTCTTCGCCTTTTTTAGGCGCTCTAGTCACGAAAAAGTTCTATAAAATCTCAACTTCACGCATGCAATCTCGTTTATTTTGTGCAAGAGGGGATTGGACAGCTATTTTTTGAAAAAAAGCAATATAAAAAATGATTTGCACGCTGCAGACATACTATAATTTCTGCAATAAAAATAAAGTCTCCTCCGCACTGTGAAATTCCTGATTTTTTCTCTGCACAGTGCAAAAAATTTTTTAATTTTGCACAGTGCGCCAAACAAAAATAATTTTTTTGCACTGTGCAAAGAACATAATGAGTTTTTTTGTCGCACCCTGGCTACCGCAAAGTAAAACTATCAATCTGTCGGGAAAATAATGTGGATTGGCCGCGCCTTGGAATTGTCCGTCAAATCACCGCAGCGACGGCTAGCCACCACTGCGGATTTGACATTTTCTGCGACAAACCCACATTATTTTCCCGGCAGACAGATGGTGCTCTATGCGGTAGTAAAGTAAAAATTCTGCGAATAAAAACTCGATTTTCGCACAGCGCAAAAACTTCAAAATTTTGAAAATTTTTTCTTTATAGCACTGTGAAAAATAAAAAAAAAATCTTGTACTGTGCAGAAATAAAAATCAAAAATTTCAGACGGAGAATATTATTTTTAGAATTTTTTTGAAAAACAATTACAGGGTGCGGCAATTTTTCGGCCGGATTTGAATTGGCTATAACTTTTTTAGTTTTTATCCGAATGTTAAAATTCTTTTTTTCCCTGAATCCTCAGACAACCCCATTTTGTGTAATACCAAATATGTTATATATACAGGGACCTAGTTCATAGTTATTGGCCCTTCGGTCGTTTTCTCTGCTTTTTCGGCGTGTGTGAAAATCGCCAGAAAAAATGACTTCTTTTTACGAATTTTGTCGTAAAATGTTTCATGCCTGTTCATGCCACGGAGAATACCGTTTCCACCAAAAATCAGCTATCTCCGCACAAAACTAGCGAGGATATAACCAAAAAGTTTTTCTGTGTAACCACTCATGTGCCCTCCTGACGGCAAAGAATCGTTGAATATCTTCGTCGCCCCTGAAAGGTGCGGGCTGAAACTTTCAGGAATTGATGTGTGGCCTATGTCTGGCCCATGTGTAAAATTTAAAGAAAATCGGAGAGTGGTACTAGGGGTAATTCCATTGTCAGCTATGAAAATTAGAGCTTTTTCTTTGTCTTGAGTTTTTACTGTAGTATAATAAACGGGTATAACATGTTTGGTATTCAACAAAATGGGGTTGGTTATGGATTCAGGGGAAAAAAGAATTTTAACATTTGCCGAAAAACTAAAAAAGTTATGGCCATTTAAAATCCGGCCGAAAAATTGCCGCACCCTGTATTTTTCACGGCACAGAGCAATTCAAAACAAATATTTAAAAACTCGTCAAAATCCCCCCTTGTACAACCCAAATTTTCCCTCTCAGATCTACTCTTCCTGCACTGTGTTATGTGGATCGTATCTCTGGTTGTCTTTCATTGTTAACTCTACCCATTTTCGAACACTATTATTTCTCTTCCTCTTCCAACTTTGAAATTGTATTTTTACTCGAATAAATTTATAAAACCTTTGACAATTTTTTTATGCAAATTTTTCACCCTTATGCAAATTTTCTGCTTATCAATTAATCCCATTATCAATTAATCCCATACAGAAATAATTGATTGATTTACCCGAAAAAGAAGCCCTTTTTGTCGGCCTCGTTTTCTCGGCAAAAGTTCATGAACGCTTCTGCAAACAATCCGCCTAATAAGATGATAATATAAATGGATTGCGGTAAGTCGGCGGACCCTTATAAAAAATATTTACATAATGAATGATGAAAAGAATGCGAGTTTTGTAAAATACGTTCATTGGAACTCCGTCTTCAAAAAATTTAAACTTTTATACATACACTGCTCCACGAAATGATAGACGCACCCTGTTTTTAGCGATTATCTTCCTTGTACTAAATGATATCGAATAATGTTCAACAGATGAAATGTGGCAAATTAAACGAGAATTCATGTCCCGTAGCGATTTTGGAACAAAATTTTGCCTTGACTGAGATATGACATTTTTAGACTTTTTTGGGGTCCACAAAATGATGGACGCAATTAAGTAATTTTTTGTTTATTTAAAAGAATTTTGAGTTAACCTGCTCTTATTACACTTCCTCGTGTTCTCTGTAGTATTAGAAAGGTAATTACATTTATATCCGCCGTACTTCATCGACGCAGCGGCCTTATGAGCCATTTCCGACCTTGTACATGAGGTAAATATTCGGTTTGAAAAAAACTGTAGGTGATTCTGTTTTCTTGGGCGAAAAACTAGCTAATGCTATCACATTATACGTGTAGATCTCACTGATGAAAAAAAACGGCTTGCTCAAGGATCCCGAGCATTTTCTTGGCATATCATCTTCAACAACTCGCTACCTTAATACTTTTAGACCCCCGAAATACCAAGGCGAATAAAGAGAATGACAAAATTTAATTTGCAAATTCGAACTGAGCATGCCTGAAAACGTAATGTTTTAATCATCAGCCGTTACAGAATACCTTTGGTCGGTAACGTCGTTCGACAAAAAAAAGTTCACAAAAATAGGCTTGTTTTTACACGTTTATCTTTAATCAATCATCTGTCAATCATCATGACATTTAAGCAGGCAATAAGTTGCGGTTTTAGGTTTGTTAACATGCTGAGTTTGATTTTCTGAGCAAAAAATTGCCATCGATAGTGATCTTCTGTACCTTTAGAGCCTTTGAAGGTTACTGTAGAAGGTATACGGTAACTTAATGGTCGATTAAATGACTTCAAGCGAATCGGTATTGGTTTATTTTATGTCTTATATTTGCAACTAGTAATCTATGATGGTTTAAGATGGTTTTTTGGCGAAAGCAAAATCGTTAATCAAATTTTTTTTCAAACGAATTTTTACCCCATGTACAAGGTCGGAAATGGCTCATAAGGCCACTGCGTCGATGAAGTACAGCGGATATAAATGTAATTACCTTTCTAATACGACAGAGAACACGAGGAAGTGTAATAAGAGCAGGTTAACTCAAAATTCTTTTAAATAAACAAAAAATTACTTAATTGCGTCTATCATTTTGTGGACCCCAAAAAAGTCTAAAAATGTCATATCTCAGTCAAGGCAAAATTTTGTTCCAAAATCGCTACGGGACATGAATTCTCGTTTAATTTGCCACATTTCATCTGTTGAACATTATTCGATATCATTTAGTACAAGGAAGATAATCGCTAAAAACAGGGTGCGTCTATCATTTCGTGGAGCAGTGTACAAGGTAAACTAAATTTACGTAGATCTTCTTTGCTCGTTTTGAAGGATATCAGAGACAAATTTTACTAAAAAAATTGGTATGTTCACGCCAGTCTTTCGGGAAAATAATGAGCGCAATTTCGCATTGGAAATCACATCGCCGCTGAGAAAATAAATTGTATCGCTGCAAAATCAAACATCTTTTCAATTCAACAAAACGATTGGGGCAGCGACATTGTGTTCATTATTTTCCCGACGGAGACGCATAAAGTCAAAAATATATTTTGATATTTCAAACTGTCCAATCTGCCTTCTTCTTCGACCGTTGATTCTGCCATTCACTGGATTTTTCAAAAACAGTACGCTCATTATTTTACCGACAGATTGATAGTACTATTTACATAGAGTGCATGGACATTTTTTTCTTTTTGCACAACTTTATGAATGAGCATATGCTTTTTTCGATGCTATTTCCAAATGAATTTCCGGTATAAAGCAAAGATTGGTCGTTCTGCAGGACTTATATATATTATATTATCCCCATTTGGAAGGGCTTTGAGGCTACTCGATAAAGGCCACGTATTTTACAAATCTTAAGACTTTTTCAATTCAAAATTTATGAGTAATTTCTCACTTTTGTTGCAGTCTTAGCGCTTGAAGGACCACTGATGCGGTTATTGTGTCAAAATTTATGTTGTAAACTTTTCTATCCAGTAAATATTCCATTGCCTTCTTGACCCTAGAACCCATCCGGATCACGCTTTCTTTGAACAGCTTTAATTCGAAAAGCCGAAAGAAGCTCTCGACAATAAAACTTTTTGCTTTTTGGATATAAAATAAACGCCGATCTGGGATTATCCGAGATCGGTTCAACGCAATCGTCGGGAAGCTGTTATAAGCGGCACAAGATTGAGTAATGCCCGTAAACGGAAGTCAAAGATGACTTAATTTTACAACAAGCGCTGTGAAAATATGTTCCGCAGTTGTGGTCCTCAGACGAAATCATAAAACCATAAAGACCAATCTTCAACGTGCCCGCGGTAAAAATTACGCAATTTTGGACCACTTTTAGGGTGATTACTGTAATTTGCAGGGGTCGCCACAGTTTACGACCTGTTACATCACGGTCGGAAGTTATGCAGATCTCGTTGGCAATTTATTTAGCAGGAATTTACAACCGCTTTGGCTCGTAAAACGAGAGCATGCGATAATTACAGTAAGCCTTTCGGACTGTAGTTTTGTCTAGCTTGCAGCAAAATTTTTTGCGTACCATGTTGGTTTACAAGCAGCCACAATGTCGGCCACAGGGTCCATTTCAATTCCTGAAAGTTGCAGCATCTATTATATTACCGCATTTTTAGTGGAAACTTTTCCTCCTCCGTTAGAAAAAAACCTGCAATTTTTTCAGCCTCAAGCTCG